GTTCACCTTCGGCCTAGACTGGGTACCCAAGAAACTGGGTATGATGGCTGGGACAAGCAAAGGGAGGTTCAGCAGAAAATGCTAAAAAATAAGGGGGCCTTAATACATGTAAACCAATGTTTCTCTAACTTCCCTCTGAAAGAGAAAACATTACCTTAGATGTTTCAAAATATGTCTAGTTTGAAAAGCACTGACTAAAAATATTAAAAGACTTCTTTGATTTTATAATTATGATTTACAACCAAAAGTCATTTCCATAGCTTAGTTTTTATAACTGATAAGTTTTCATTTTTTTTTAAAGATTTTATTTATATTTATTTTTAGAGAGGGAAGGGAGGGAGAAAGAGAGAGAGAGAGAAACATCAATGTGCGGTTGCTGGGGGCTGTGGCCTGCAACCCAGGCATGTGTCCCGACTGGGAATTGAACCTGCGGCACTTTGGTTCGCAGCCTGCGCTCAATCCACTGAACTACGCCAGCCAGGGTGATAAGTTTTCATTTTGATAATCTTGAAATAATTAGCTCTTGCAGGTCTTACTTACGGGCCCTAGGTGACTTTGAGAACTGCTGATGTAATTTCACTTCCTAGAGAAGTTGGGACCCACAAAAATATAAAATCATCCTGTCGCACACGTGGGAGGCCCCTTCTCGCCCACAGCTCATTTGTTGTAGATCTAGGACTAGAATCCAGGTCCCCTGACTCCCAGGCCCACAGTTACTTTTCTTACGTTGGGACCCCTAAGGTGGTACTCTCTGCACAGCTCCTTATTGCAGGGCAGTGCCAAAATATGGTGCAGGAGCTTGAGATTCCCAAAGTGCCTCCTCAGGAGGGCCTTGGAGCTCCTGAGGTGACCTGTTGGGCCATTCCAATTACAGACGTGTCCATTGAGATGCCAGAGGAGCTGGACATCTCCCAGTTGAGGGGTACAGGGCTGCAGCCTGGAGAGGAGGAGCTGCCTGACATTGCCCCACCCCTGGTTACTCCGGATGAGCCCAAAGGTAGCCTTGGTTTCTATGGCAACGAAGACGAAGACTCCTTCTGCTCCCCTCACTTCTCCTCTCCGACATGTTAGTGACTCTTTTTCCTGCCTGTCTCTTTCCCTTGCCAAGGGGCTCTTCTCTGCCTGCCTCCCCACGACCCTGTCCTTTGTGTTTCTCCTGTCCTCCCTTTCAAATTTCCTCTGCCCTCTTTTGGTGGACGTGAGGACCGACTGGAGCACTCCCAGCCACATTCTCGGTGTGGATGGCAGTAGCACTGGCTAACAGCCCGCCATTTTTGTCACCTCATTGGTTGGGGGCGGGGGCTGGGAATCATATTCCAGAAACAGGGCCCATTCTGTGAGTATGGGTAAGGAAGGGGATCTATGGGGGTCTTTAGCCTCAGTTCTGTGCCTTTAGGGTACCACACCCACATTGTACTCATTCTAGTACTGGGATAAGGTGCCTGGCTGTGAGAGAAAAATGCCTGGAATGCAATGGTTGGGAGAGGGCAGGGCGGGACTGTGGGAGGAGGAGGAAGAGCAAAGAGTGGCCCGAGGACTCCGTCACTGTGCCCGCACTTCTCTCACCGCAGCCCCCATGCTGGATGAGTCGGTCATCATCCAGCTGGTGGAGATGGGCTTCCCCATGGACGCCTGCCGCAAAGCCGTCTACTACACGGGCAACAGCGGGGCCGAGGCCGCCATGAACTGGGTCATGTCGCACATGGATGATCCAGGTAGGCAGGGCTGGGTAGCAGGGCCAGGCAGGGCCACCACCCTCCCCAAAACACTGCAACCCCTTCCCATCCACAGATTTTGCAAACCCCCTCATCCTGCCTGGCTCCAGCGGGCCTGGCTCCACAAGTGCAGCTGCGGACCCCCCACCAGAGGACTGCGTGACCACCATTGTCTCCATGGGCTTCTCCCGGGACCAGGCCCTCAAAGCTCTGCGGGCCACGGTAGGGGCTGTCCCCAGCTCAGGAGTGGGGCCTCTGGGGTAGCAGAGGGTGGGAGTGAGGTCCATCCTTGGTGAGCAAGACCAAGGGTATTGGCGTGGTGCGGCCGAGGCTGGGCTCCACCTTGCTGTGGCTGTGACAAAGGAGCTGACTGAGGCTTTCACTGGTGCTTTTCTTGCCCCCGAACTTGTCTGAAGTGTAATGCTTTTCTCCTCCTCAAGAACAATAGTTTAGAACGGGCTGTGGACTGGATCTTCAGTCACATCGACGACCTAGACGCAGAGGCTGCCATGGACATCTCAGAGGGTCGCTCCGCTGCCGACTCCATCTCTGAGTCTGTGCCAGTGGGACCGAAAGTCCGGGACGGTTCTGGAAGTGAGTGTCCCGGGGAGAGAGGACAGGCCTGGGAGAGTCTTGCCAGTCTGCTGTGCCAGAGCCTCATTCCAAGGCAGCTTTGCTTCCCTCTTGGGGCAGAGGGGGCAGAAACTTCTTCCCGGTGACAAGACTCCTGAAGGTGGGATTCTAGGAGGTGGAGACAGGTCTTTGATCCAGTACATGCCTACATTCCCTGAGTTCGAGCTGTTAGAGCAGGGTGTCCGACTCATTTTCACCAGGGGCCACATCAGCCTCGCGCTGCTTTCAAAGGGCCGAATGTAATTTCAGGACTGTATCAATGTAACTGCTCCTTAACTGTCAAGCGAGAGCTCGGCGCAGCCACTGGGTAGAAACAAGGTGGAGGGCTGGATTCAGCCTCGGGCCTTGTGTTTGCCACCTGTGTGTCAGATAGATTTTCGGACTGTCACTCCAGGATCCCTCTCTCATCGTCTTCTCTGCCCTCCCCCTCTCTCCTTCCCTAGAGTATCAGCTCTTTGCCTTCATCAGTCACATGGGCACCTCCACCATGTGTGGTCACTACGTCTGCCACATCAAGAAGGAAGGCAGGTGAGGGCCCAGCCGTGTGCGTTTGGAATGGGGCAGTGGGAGTGGAGATGCGTAGGGGCACCCTGGAAACCCTGGAGGAGGAGAAGGACTACCTGACGGGAGCCGCACACACACTGAGGGGTGAGGGAACGCTGGACAGCAGAGACGAGGCAAACTGCGGCCCGAGGGCCGACTCAGGCCACTTGCCTCTGTAAGCGGTTTTAATGAGCATAGCCACCTTACTCATTCATGCGTTGTCTGTGGCTGTTTCCACACTGCACCAGGCAAGCTGAATAGTTGTACCAGAGACCCGATGGCCTACGAAACCTGAAAGATTTACCACCTGGCCCTGTATAGAAAAAGTTTGCAGACTCCTGCCTTACAGAAATGGGTGGGGGGATGGTGGTAAAGACACTGAGCAGGGGAAATGACCTTGGTGAGATTGGGACGCTCCCTGCAGACAGGTGGCAGCTGGACTGTAGGTTTGGCGGCCTTTCCCCAGAATCTCCAGGATTGGCCCCAGAGGCCGTGTCAGAGAAACCGAGTAGAAGCCCTGTGGACTGCCCAGTTGGTCCATCTCTTTCCACCCTTCCCCACCTTCCCCAGATGGGTGATCTACAACGACCAGAAAGTGTGTGCCTCTGAGAAGCCGCCCAAGGACCTGGGCTACATCTACTTCTACCAGAGAGTGGCCAGTTAAGAGCCTGCCCTGACCCCTTACCACGGAGGGCAGGGGTCAGACCACCTGGCATGAGGGAGAGGGGCTGGGGGATGGACTGCAGCCTGCCTGCTCTGTACCCTTTTTCTTTCTGCCCCCCGCCCCTCCGCCCACAGCAGGGAAGAAACTAGAGGCCCTAGGAGAATGGCCAAGCAAAGTGGAGAGGCACTCGAGAGACTTTGGGGTTAGAGCAGGATGGGGACGGGAGGGTGGCTGCCTGTCTGTGAGGAGACTCTGTTGCTTCCCCTCCCCCGAACCCCTGTTCCTCTGCTTCTCGAATCCCGCCAGCTCCTGGTGTGGAGGGGCTTGTTTGTATGTGTGTGCGTGTGGGTGTCGCTTTGTGCAGCCTCTTCCACAGGACGGGGTGCTCCTCCTCCCCTCCCCCTTTGTGTTTGTCCCCTGTGTGGTCAAGCCAGGAGGGATCTGAGGGAAATGGGGACCCCCTCGCCCTCCTGCCTCAGTCTTTCCCTCACCCTGTCTCTTCCCTGTTCTTCTCTGGAAAATGCCAAAATACATGATGTGAATAAAAGTACAATGGCTAAATTGTGTCCTGTTTGATTCCTTGTGGAGACTTATCTGCCCTGGGGCTGGCAGGAAGGCCAGCGCCCCAAAACTCCCAGTGCTTCTCAGTACCCGAGCTCTTGGGAAATTGAGGGTGAGGTGAGGACTGGGGCCCATCAGGTCAGGGGAAGTGGAGCAGGGTGACAGCAAAGACAGGGGTGAAAAGCCCTTCTTTCCTTCCAGCAGTCACACACATGTCCACAGGTCCCTAGTGTCTAGGAAGCCCTGGGCCTAGGCCCCAGGCCCTGCAGCCCTTTGTCAGCCCTGGGCCAACTGGAGGAGGAGTGGGATGCCTTGGGGGAGGAGTTCTGAACTGCCTGGGCCTCAGCCTCGGCTGTACAGCTGGTGCCAGCAACGGCCATCCCTCCCTCCCTCTTTGAACCCTGTCACTTGCCCAGTAACTGTGGGCTAGACTCTCCCTGCAGGGGTCAAAGGTGCCTGCTCAGCAATCGGATATGGCTAAATACTTGGATGGGGGGAGGGAGTTCCTTTTCCCAGAGTTGGGAAGATGGCCCTCAATCCCCTGAGCAATGTGGCCCAGGCCAAGCAGTTGGGTGGTCGGACTTGCCAGCTAGTTCCCCTGGGAACCTCATCTGGCCCCCTAGAGGGCTGCAGTCTTGAAGAGCCGGTTCCTCGAGCGCAGGGGCTCAGTTCTCGCCTTCTCCCGAGTCAGGCAAAGGAAAGGCTGAAGCGACTCAGTTCCGATGCCCCTAGAACGTTGCTACAAGAAAGGGGGTAACGTCAGAACACTGCCACAAGGGCGGCGGGTGGGGTGGGGGGTAGGACTTGCAGGCGGGGGCCGGGCTAACCATGGCCAAGGAGGCGGAGTTCTGTCTCACCGCGCTCTATATAAGCGGGCAGTGGCCGCGGCTGCGCGGTGATCCTGACCTTCAGTGTGTCGGCTCCAGCGCCATGGCGCCCTCCAGGAAGTTTTTCGTGGGGGGTAACTGGAAGATGAATGGGCGGAAGGCGAATCTGGGGGAACTCATCAACACGCTGAATGCGGCCAAGGTGCCGGCCGACACCGGTGAGCCTCATTGGGTAGGGTAAGGCAGGGCAGGGAGGGCGGGGGAGCGCCCTCTCCGGAGCTACCGGGTGTGCTCGTAGAGCTGGGTGCAGGCTGAGAACGAAGGCTACTGGGGACCCGGACGCTGACCCAGCAGCCGCAATGCCAGGGGTGTATCGAGGGGGAAATCGGGGCCACATTTAACGGTGCGCTCGGACAGTGGAGCGGGAAAGGACGTTTTTGTCTCCAAGAAGATGGCCCCGAAGCACGGACAGAGCTGCACTGCCAGGAGTCCGGCATGGAAGCGGAGATTAGCACCAGTGGGCGATCGGGAGTGGCGACAACCCGGGAATTGGGGGTGCGGGGGAGTGGAGGCGGCTGAGTGGGCGTGCAGGCCGCCAGTCACCTGCCCCTAGGCCGGGCTCCGTGCGCCGCTGCACGTAGCGCGAGACTCCTCCCAGAGCCTTGCCTGGCGGGCTGAGTGTTCCTGCCGCGCTGCCTCTCCCTCTGCCTCCAGAGCTACCCGCTCCGATCCTCTACCCTCCGCAGCCTGGAAGAGCCCTGCTTTCTTCAGAAAGGGGCTGAGTAGATGTCAAACAGGCAGATGCCAAACAGGATGCCATTTGGGAATATGGAGCGATCCTACGGCTTTTTCCAACCTGGAACCGGGGAAGCGCAGGGCCTCTATGAGCTCGTAGCTCCCTGCCACCCACCGGCAGAGTGCTGTACTCAGTCCTTCCCATCCACCTAAAACACGGAACCACCGGCCTGATCAGAAGAGGCATCCTCTTCTGGTTTATTCGCCAGAGACTCCAATATCAACCCCAGGAGTTGGCCCCTTAAGCTTTTGCTAAAAATCCTTGCCTTGCCTGTGGGAGGTAGGGATGAGCTATTTTAGAAGGGAGGTGGGGTTGGCCCCCAGGGAATGCTGAGTCTAGGAGGTGCCCAGGCCCAGAATAGCCCGGAGAAATCAGAGCCACAGCTGTTAAAAGAGCAAAGGGCAGGGCCATGGCCTCTCAGGGGCATCCGAAAAGCTCTAGGAGCTGGAAATGGGCCCAATCTGGGATGTGTGCAAAGATCATCTTGCTGGGGTGAAAAGGGAAGGAAAGCAGAACTAAGGAAGCTGGTGAAGGCTAGGGGGCTCCAGACCCCGGATGGAGCCTGACAAATGTTGTGTTCTCATCCACAGAGGTGGTTTGTGCACCCCCCACCGCCTACATTGACTTTGCCAGGCAGAAGCTAGATCCCAAGATTGCTGTGGCTGCCCAGAACTGCTACAAAGTGACTAATGGGGCCTTTACTGGGGAGATCAGGTGAGATGCAAGTGGGAAAAGGGTGTGTGAGGGCCTTCCCTTACTTTCCTCATTGAGTGGAAAGCCACAGGTGGGCCCCCTGTGGAACTGTGGCTTCATCTCTTCCCATAGCCCTGGCATGATCAAAGACTGTGGAGCCACATGGGTAGTCCTGGGGCACTCGGAGAGAAGGCACGTCTTTGGGGAGTCAGATGAGGTTAGTAACCAGGAGAAGAGATAAAGAGATGCCTCTCTTAATCCCAAGAGTAGTGTCTCACCAACTGTGTTCCTCAACAGCTGATTGGGCAGAAAGTGGCGCATGCCCTGTCCGAGGGACTTGGAGTGATCGCCTGCATTGGGGAGAAGCTAGATGAGAGGGAAGCTGGCATCACTGAGAAGGTCGTTTTTGAACAGACCAAGGTCATCGCAGGTATTTCTGAAGGGACCTATGAGCCTAGTCAAGGCCATGGAGGCACGGAGGGTGGGGTCAGAAGCGCTGCAGCCTGACTTGATTCCCATGCTGAGGAAAGGGGAAGGTGGGATCCCTTGCATCCTCTCAATCACTGCTGCTCCTGTCCCATGTATTGATGCCTCATGGAGTTCCCTAAATAACCACCAGGGGGCAGCATGCCACCCTCTTCTTTATTCCCTGGGTACCAAGCTACAGAGCTCCTTCTTGTTCACCTTCTATCTGTGGTCTCTGTCCTACAGATAACGTGAAGGACTGGAGCAAGGTTGTTCTGGCCTATGAGCCTGTGTGGGCAATCGGCACAGGCAAGACTGCAACACCTCAACAGGTAAACAAGCCCAGGACCCCACCCTTGTCCTACCTTGCCTCAGTAGAACTGGATAGCACAGAGACCATCCTGGCCAACCCCTCCTTTTAAAGGCAGGAGCCCCTAAGCCCAGAGAAGGGGAGAGTGACTTGTCCAAGGACGTCCATTCCACAGCCTGGGCTGTGTGTGTGTGTGTCAGAGCCCTGGTGTTCTGACTCGGACCCCAGGTGCTGGGATTCTCTGAAACCACACTGCCTCACCACTCGTGCCCAGGGTTTTTTTTTTCTTTCAGGAAGATGCAGGGTCTTAACTTAGTCTGACTTCTTGTTCCAGGCCCAGGAAGTACATGAAAAGCTCCGGGGATGGCTGAAGTCCAATGTCTCTGATGCAGTGGCTCAGAGCACCCGCATCATTTATGGAGGTGAGTGGGTTGGCTCCAGCTTGAGGTGGGGTGGGCTGAGAACTAGAATGAGCCTCCTTGGTTAGACATGGAGGTGGGAATAGAGTATGCCCATCCCATCCCTGACCATTCACCCTCTTTTCTCTCATGTCAGGTTCTGTGACTGGGGCAACCTGCAAGGAGCTGGCAAGCCAGCCTGATGTGGACGGCTTCCTTGTGGGTGGTGCGTCCCTGAAGCCTGAATTTGTGGACATCATCAATGCCAAACAATAAGCCCCACTCATCTCCCCTCTCCTTCCTGCTATGCCAAGGGCAACAAAGCTCAGAAGCCCAGTAACTGCTCCTCCCCCGACACACATGCTTCTGATAGTATCACCTGCCCCTTCTCGTGGCCTGATCCAAACTGTACTTCTCCCTCACCAGTTACATCTCACCTTGTAATGGCTGGGACCTGGCCAACCCCTTCTCCACTTACTATGGTCACTGGAACAAGACATGTCATCAAGGAGGCTTCTCCTTGGCTGAGAGGTGGAAGGGGTAGTTTGCTCGTGGGTCCCCAGTCCCCAGTGAAGGCAGGAAAGGGAGCCGTCCTCTTCCATCCCGCACCATGGGGCCAAGGGCTGGGAGAGAGCCCTGTCTTCCCCTCCGAGGCCAGGGGTTCTGTTCTCGTCCCTGGTGCCAACGCCTGTGTGTGTTGTGTATGTGAGCAGCCCCGCTCGGTGGCAGAGGGTTGGGGGGGGAATAAACACCTGCCACTAAGCCTTGTGGTTCGTCTTTCTTCATTGTACCTGTTTCCACATCATTTCTCTTTCCTTTTTGAGGCAGCCACAGGACACTTGTGCAAAAAATACCGGAGAGGTTTTTACGACAGCCTATTTCTTATTTTTACTTGAAAAAAAATGTCTTGCATACCAGGACACCACAACCTTGAATAATGGCTCTCTTCACCCCTGGGTGGGTCTGGGGCTATTAAGCTCCCTAGAGATCAGGTTGGGGGTAAGGGCCCAGCCTCACCTCCCCACCAGCCTCACTGGCTTTAAGTGGCTGGTCCAGGCCAACAGTGTCCCACCCCTACTTCTGGGGAGGGACAGCATCGAGGCCCTGCAATCTGGTATTACAGGGTCGCTGGTAGAGCAGGTAGCGCTTCATCGCAGCAGGCAGGGGCAGAGCAGATACCTGGCCCAGACGGGCAGCCCCCAGTGCTTTGTGCACGGACAGGCGGCTCAGATGCAGAAGGGAGTGTGGCTCCGCTGGGAGAGAGAAGGAAGGGAAGGTAAGTAGTGCAGCCGCCAACCAGACATCCTCAGTCTGTAGGGTTCCCTTCCACTTTCCTGCTCTTGAGTCTACTTTTACCTTGGTTGAGAGACATCTTAGCCACCCTGAAGTTCTGTATCTGCTCTTAGGGTGGGAAGTGTCACGCACTTCCAGTCAGTGGTGACAGTGAAGCTCTAGCTAAGGCCTCTAAGCAACAGAGCAAGGTGGCTATGACAGAGGTGGAGCTGGCCCAGAGAGGCCTGGGGAATGGGGCTGATGAGGTGAAAGGAAGCCGGCACTCCACAGCAGCTCACCCTGGGTGATAATAGGAGGAGAGGCCTCCAGCCTCTGCTAAGACTACAACTGCAGAGAACAGTTCAATCAGTTCCAAGCCTGGCCCCATTGCTTCCCCAAGGAGGCCCCTCCCCTGCAGCCCCACCCCAAACCCCGCCTCTACTGCTCCTCCCATTTGAGGGGGGGGCAGTCCCCAATGGCTCCTTCCTGGGGTTTGACTGAAGAAGTAGGTATGTAAGTGTCACACTCTGGGTGCCTAGCACTGCCTTTCAAACTTGTACACCTAGCCCAGGAGCCCTTTAACCCTGCACACCTCTGCTCCAGGAGCTGATAGCTCCTGTAAAGCCCTAATCCCTGGAGAGCCTCCCTCCAATCTGGGGCTCACCATTTACAGCAAGTTCCCAAGCGTCACCTCTACCTCTACTGCTGTTGGGAGGATTAAATTAGGTAACAGCTGTGAAGACCCTTAGCCATTCCTGGCACTGAATAAAGGGTTAGGGAGGCAGGTCAGATGGAGGTTCCCTCCACTTTCGTAAAGGTGTTGGGTTTCCAACCCAAACCACAGCCAGCAGTGAAAGAACACTCTCCCACACCTACCCAGGCCTCACCTCTCCTTTCGCCCAGGTAGCTGATGCGGACCTGGCACTGGCCCCAGACAGCGCTTACTGCCGGATAGAGGGTCCTGCCCTTCAGTCCGCGGAACGCTGGCCCCAGGTAGGTGTCCCCAAGAGCGTAGCCCAGAGTTCCCTCCTCCATGTCCAGAACCACCAGCAGCCTCTCCGGCACCTCCAGCCGCTCACCCTGAGGTCCGGCTGGATATTGGGGGGCCCCTATCCCCTTGCTCTGATGGTATAGCTTCCCACGCCCAATGTCCCAGCCCCAAGACTCGCTGTTGCTGCCCAGCAGCGCCGCGTAGTGGTCTGCCTGCAGCGGGGCGAGGGCCGTGGCCACACCCACCACGGCGTGGGTGCCCCGCTGCTCCGGGGGCCAGCTGATTTCCCAGGCGTGCAGGCCCCTCGAGTAGCCCCTCTTACCCCGGGCCCCATCAGTGCTCTGGGCTACGGGCCGCCGTTCAAAGCACAATCCCCTTTCCTTGACCTCGATGTTCTCTGAGCAGTCCTTGGGGTTCCAGCCGTGGCGCCGCTGAGTCTCCAGGTCAGGAAAGGGAGCAGAAAGCAGTTCCTCCAAACCTTCGGGACGCGAGTAGTCAGGGTACAGGGCCTGTGGGGTGGGGGTGCTACTGCAGCCCCCTGCCAGGGCCGTCTGGCCCATGGAGGCGAGGAGCTGGAGGATTCCCCGAAAGAGTCTTGCCGGGGCGTTTCTCTTCTCCCAGTCGCTCTCGCCTTCGGGACTGACCTGGAGAGGAGTTAGCAGAGAAGAGGATGTGAAGTGCGGCGACCTGGCGGAGGCTCCTCAACCAGGTGGCCCACCTTTCACCCGTTTGCTCACCGCCCCGCCCCGCCCTCTTCGCTCCCCCCGCAACTAGTCCTCACCCATCCGTCCCAGTCTCCCGAGACTCTCGCGAGTTCACCCCTTCGGGCCTCTCCGGGGCCGTCCCCCTCGCCTGCCCAGTGTCCGCGCCACCGGCGGCTCCGGAACATCTCTTAGCTCCCCCAGCGGGGAGGTCGCGGGTTCCGCGGCACGTGGGGCGAAGAGCGCCGGCGGTTTTCACCTCCAGCGCCTCCCCCAGGTTTGGCCCCACCTGGGCGCAAACTGGACCTTCCCGGGTGGTTAACCCTCGCGTTGCCGCCCCAGGCTGCGCCCCACACCGAGGCCACGCCCCCACGAGGAGACCACCTTGGGCGGTTAGTCCCTTTCTGGCATCGCTTTGGGGTCTCTGGAGGTCTGTTCTCCACTGTCGGTATCCTTGAGTCCCCTGGGCAACCGACTCCAGGGGCATGGAGTCAAGGGGATTCTTGCATTGTGCTGGCCTCGATTTCCATGGGCTTGTCATTCTGGTCACTGCTCCTGGGTAGGTCTCTCTCCGACCCAATTGTGAGTCAGCCCGTTCTATGAGGTTCCGAACACTGTCTTTCGGGCCTTGGGCAGGAAATGGCACAGGTCTCCATGCTGTTCTAGTCTTGGTCCTGGATGCCCGTCCATTCGTAAAGTGTATGTCTCATTTGGGAGAGTGTAGTGATTAAAATCTCCGTCGTGAGTGAAACTATGCCACTAATTAGCTGTGTCCTTGGGGAGGTTACCAAACTTCTCTGAACCTGTTTTCTGCCTTGTAAAATGGGTAACAGTGGTGGTACATACCTCACAGGGTTGTTGTGGAGTTGAAATAATCCAGTTAAAGCACTCAGTATGGAATCAGGTACTCAGGATGCACTCACTAATCATAGCCATTATGATGTATTTAACACGTACTAAGCGCCCCCTCTGAGGAGAGACAATATACTACAGTGGTGGAGGATGCAGGCTGTGCATCCTCAGTGGGGAGGAGCGAGGCTGACTGGGTGTGGATGCCTGAAGGCCAGTGTGCACACGTGACCTTGGGTAAATTTCTCAACCTCCCTAGTGCTGTTTCTTTTTCTGTAAAACAGAAGTGCTATTGGTATCTACTGCATGAGATATTCATGAGAACTCAGTGAAGTTTCATACATGTAAAACGCTTGGAACAGTTTCTGGTTTAAATGTGATCATGTGTGCTAAGCACAGAGGGATGGAGCAGTGAACCCTCAAACAGGTTACAAGGACATTCATAAAAACAGTTTACCATGTAGTAGATGAAATTACAGAGGTGTAAGGAAAGTGTACGGGGGTAAAAAGGACGGGACTGCTAACCAGGGACAAAGCGGTTAGGAAAGGAAAGTGTCCTGGAAGAGATGACACTTGGCTGAATCTCAGCAAATGGCTAGCAATTGGCCTGAGAGGCGTTTCTGCAGGATGGGGGTGAGTTTAGGGTTGCAGCATGTAGAAGGCATTCCAGACGGAGCTTACATTAAAAAAGCCAGAGGCTGTAGTTGGGGTTGGGGAAGTTCAAAGACTTCAGGGTTGCTGCAGCCAGAAAGCAAGCATGGACACAAACCTAGAGGAGCTGGTGCCGGCTGAAGGAGGCTTTGTAGGACAAGCTAAAGAGTGCAAGTGTTTGTCTGTGGACAGGGGAGCCAAGGAGGAGACAAGCGGGGGAGGAACAAGGTCAGACACTCAGTTTAGAAAAACCACCCTGCAAGGGCTCATGGACCTGGACAACGGTGTGGTGACTGATGGGGGGAGGGGGGATAAGGGTACTGCATGGTAATGGAAAATAATACAATAAAGATTATACATATATATTTTAAAATATTTTGTTTATTTATTTTTAGAAAGATGTGAAGGGAGGGAGAAAGAGAGGGAAAGAAGCTGTGTGAGAGAAACATTGTGTGGTTACCTCTCACACACCCCCAACTGGGGATCTGGCCCACAAGCCAGGCATGTGCCCTGACTGGGAATTGAACCAGTGATTCCTGGGTTCACCAGCCAGTGCTCAGTCCACTCAGCCACACCAGCCAGGTCTATATATTTAAAAAATTAAATGTTTTAAAATGGTAAAAAAAAAAGAAAAAGAAAAAGAAAAGCTACCCTGGCAGCAATGTTGAGGAGGATTTGAAGGACATAGGGCATGAAGCACCAAGACTGGTTCTAGCAGCCCAGGTGACAAGTGTCAAAAGACTGAAATAAGGCAGTAGAAATAAGAATGAAAAGAATCCAAGGAACGCTGAGAGGGCCCTGGTCAGGTAGCTCAGCTGGCTGGAGCATCATCCTGATAAGCCAAGGCTGCAGGTTTGATTCCCAGTCAAGGCACATACAAGAATCAACTGATGAATGCATAAATAAAGTGGAACAATAAATCGATATTTCTCCCCACCCCCTCTCTCCCCTTAAAACCAATAAATAAAAAATTAAAAAAAAAACAACCCACTGATAGAATCGCCAGATTTGGTAACTGGTTAGATGCTGAGGCCAGGGAAAGGAAAGAGAGAGAGGTGTTGAGCCTGGAAGAGTTTGTCGGATGGTGGTGCCACTAACAAAGGCGGAGATGACAGGAAGAGGAGCCCCTAACAAAGACGGAGATGACAGGAAGTGGAGCAACTCGGGGCAGGTGCCAGAGGGTGGGAAGGAGAGATGGTGAGTCCAGTTTAGGACATGTTTTTGAGGTATCCAGGCAACAACCAGAAGGAACCATCCAGAACACACTTGACAATGACAGGAATGGAGGAGGAGGTAGAGACCTGGGGAAGAAATGAATCTGGGAGATGCGTCAGCCTTTATCCAGGAAGTGAACTATGAGAATCAATGAGGGGTTTGGAGAGACTGTGTAGAGTGAGAAAAGGGGTCAAGGAGAATACAGTGTAGCAGAGAATTCAGGCTTGATTACTTACAAGCTTTTGCGGTCAAGCCATGTGTCAAGCATTGTGCTACAAGCTTCACATTTTGGGAGGACAGAGTCAGGAGAAGTGTGGGGACAACTATGCCTGGTAGTCAACATTACCCTTGAAAATCTCATACCCCCATTAGGTACAGCATATGTTAGTTTGAGTCAAATACAATATGTGGCAGCACAGGTACAGGGTGGGGCAAAAGTAGATTAAAAGTTGTTTGAATGGAAAATAATATAATAATTAGCTCTGGCTGGTGTGGCTCAGTGGTTGAGTGCCAGCCTGCTAATCAGAGGGTCGTAATTTCGATTCCCTGTCAGGGCACATGCCTGGGTTGCAGCCAGGTCCCCAGTAGAGGACATGCAAGAGGCAACCACACACTGATGTTTCTCTCCCTTTCTCCCTCCCTCCCCCTTTCTAAAAAATAAATAAAATCTTTAAAAAAGAAAACAATATAATAATAAATAATAAAAGAATAAACTCTGTTTCATGTACTTACAATTGTAAACTACATTTACCCCACACTGTACAAGGATGTACAGAATAAAATTTTATAATATTTTAATTAAAGAGACAGGAGCAAGCATATTAAAAAGAAAGATGTAAACCTGAATACTTGTCATCCACCCAACCTGGATATTCTTGCCAGTGTGACAACAGAAATAATTACATCATGACAGTGGATAGCGGCCTATGAGTATCAGTGGAGGATCTGTGTGATAGCCAAGTTGATGAAGGCTAAGCGAGCCTAAGCCACAGCTGACTCCAGTTCAGCCTGAGAAGTTGCTGGTTGTTTCAAACATGGTATTTAGCAATTGTTGCCACTGGATCTTGAACTGCTTGAATATTTGTTGATAATAGCTCACATATTCCATGCTGCTACAAGTAATTTAACTTTTTGCTTTTATATTGATATGTAACATGCATGAAGTACACTAATCTTAAACTGCTCAGTGGATTTTTACATACAGTGGTACCTTGGTATGCATCATCAATTCATTCTGTGATGAGTGCTGAAACCGATGAGCACCAGAAGATGAAGCATTTTCTCTTGTGAAGCATTTTCTCATACAAGTTCTAGCAAGTGCGACGAGTCCTGACACATTTTTTTTCTTATCAAAGTGAGACAAGTACAGGGTCTGATGAGTTCTGAAGCCAGCGAGTACTGTGCTATGTTTATATTTATATTGCTACACGACCACCATTTCTAGCATCAAGATCAAGTGTATCTCCAGCATCCCACAAGGCTCCTTCTTGCCCCTGCCCTAGCACTACATCCCTAAAACTCACTAGGATTTGACCTCTATCAGTATAGATTAGCTCTGCCTCTTCTTCAATTTCATATAAATGAAACCATATATTATGTGTTGCATTTTTTAATTTTTATTTTTAAGCCTGTTTTTAAAATATTTTATTTATTTATTGTTAGAGAGAGGAGAGGAGGGAGAAAGAGAGGGAGAAAAACATCGATGTGCGAGAGATGTATCAATCTGTTACTTCTAGCATGCCCCCAGTTGGGGACCTGGGCCACAACCCAGGCATGTGCCCTCACTGGGAATGGAACCTGTGACCTTTCAGTTCAGAGGCCAACACTCAGTCCACTGAGCCACACCCGCCAGGGTGTATTGTTGTTGTTTTTTAAAATCCTCACCTGAGGACCCTCTGCCTCTTGTGTGTGTCCCCACCAGGGACCAAACCCACAGTCTAGGCATGTACCCTGACCAGGAATCGAACCTGCAAACTTTCAGTTTACAGGACAACTGCTCCAACTACCAAGTCACACCAGTTAGAGCTAGTGTATATTTTGTGTCTGACTTATTTTTCTCAACATTATGTCTGTGAGTCGTCCATGTTGTTGCATGAAATAGTAGCTCATTATTTTAATTGTTTTACAGTATCTCATTGCATGTATGTACTACAATGTATCTATTGATGGGATTTGAATTATTTCTATTATGGGATTCCAATAATTCCTATTAGTTGGAATTATTTCCAACTAATAGCTAATAGTTTTTGGCTATTATAGAAAGAGATGCCATGTTCATTATTGTGTAAGTTTTTCAATGGACCAAAGCACTCATTTCTATGGGTGCATACTTATATAAGCAATTGCTGGTTTATAAAAATGTACAATGAATAAATTTAACTATACCTATAATTTTCAGGTTTTTCTCCATAGAGCACTTTTATTCAGAAATTAAATCATTCAGGTATTTGGCAGTATGGAACACTTCAACATATCTATGAAGATTTGAACTGGTCTTTTCTTCCTGTTCATTATATCTTTATCTTCTGGGGATTTTATCAGTTC